AGAGGCAAAGAAAGCATTGAGTCCTTCAGTTTTCCCCACATCATCTGTCACAAGTTACCTCCTTCATCCAGTAGAGGCCACACATCCTCTCTGATTACCTTCTTCTTGTTAACATGCCTGTAGAAACCTTTCTTGTTATCCTTCACATCCTTAGCCAGTCGCAATTCCATTTGCGCTTTTGCCTTCCTGATAACACCCCAGCATTCTCGAGCTATACATTTAAACCCCTCCCTCGTCATTTGCCCAGGTTTCCACTTTTTGTAAGCTTCCTTTCTATGCTTAAGTTCACCAAGGATTTCCCCTGTAAGCCAATCCGGTCTCCTACCATGTTTGCCTCTCTTGCTAGGCATCGGAATGATTTCTTTCCGTGCCTTCAATAAGGCTTCTTTAAAATACTGCCAGCTGTCCTGGACTCCTTTCCCCTTCATGTTAGCATCCCACGGGATTCTGCCCATCAGATCTCTGAGGGAGTCAAAATCTGCTTTTTGGAAGTCTAAGGTGTGTATTTTACTACTCTCTTTTCTTCCTTTCGTCAGGATTCTGAAATCTACCATCTCATGATCACTGCTTCCCAGGTTGTTACCCACCTCTACTTCCCATATTAGTTCCTCCCTTTTTGAGAGCAGAAAGTCAGGCTGTGCATGGCCCCTGGTCGGATCCTTCAGCACTTGTGCCAAGAAGTTATCCCCAATATTCTCCAAAAACTTCCTGGATTGCCTGTGTACTGCCGTATTGGTTTCCCAATAGATGTCAGGGTGAATAAAGTCCCCCACAAGAACCAGGGCCTGCGATATGGAAGTTTCTCTCAGTTGTCCGAAGAAAGTCTCATCTATCTCATTCACCTGATTCGGTGGTCTGTAGCAGACACCAACCACAACATCACTGCTATTGTTGTTTGCACCTCTAAACTTAACCCATAGACTCTCAACAGGTTTATCCTCCATCTTTATACTGGAGTTCAGAGCAATCATAATGCTCTTACATATAGTGCAACTTCTTCTCCTCTTCTCCCCTGCCTGTTCTTCTTGAACTATCTATACCCTTCAATGACAGCACTCCAGTCATGCGAGTCATCCCACCCAGTCTCTGTTATCCCAATTAAATCATATTTCTTACACTGGGCCAGGGCCTCCAGTTCTTTCTGTTTGTTGCCCAGACATCTCGCATTAGTGTACAAACACCTAAGATAACCATTTGATCACCCTATCTTCTCCATTCGAATCAGGGGTCCTCCTTTGTTGCTTGTTCCTCTTTGCATTTCTTCCCGGTATCCGACTTTCCCACTCCCCTCAGGGTTTTGGTCATCATCCCCTGACAAATCTAGTTTAAAGCCCTCCTCACTAGATTTGCAAGCCTGCCCACAAAGATGCTCCTTCCTCTCTTTGTTAGGTGGATCCCATCTCTTCCTAACAATCCTTGTGCCCAGAACAGAGTTCCATGGTCAAAGAAACCAAAGTCCTCTCTGCGACACCACCTGCGCAACCACGCATTTACTTCCTCAATTCGACGATCCCTGCCCAGTCCTCTCCCTTCAACAGGGAGGATGGACGAGAATACCACTTGCGCTCCAAATTCTTGGATCCTTCTTCTCAGTGCTCCTTAATCCGCAGTAACCCACTCAGGGTCATTGTTGGCCTTATCATTAGTTCCCACATGGAGAAGCAGGAAGGGGTAGCGCTACGAAAGTTTCATCAGTTTGGTAAGCCTCTCGGTCACATCCTGAATGCGAGCTCCCAGTAAGCAGCACACCTCTCGAGAGTCCAGGTCCGGAGGGCACATGGATGACTCAGTCCCTCTTAGAAGGGAGTCCCCGACCACCACCACCCGTTGTTTTCTTTTGGGGGTGGTGGCTGTGGAACCACCATCCCTAGGACTACGCATCCCATGCCTTCCAGTAGATGGTGATTCCTTCTGGTTTCTTCCTTGTAATGTCCCTTCCTAAGCATTCAGCACTGCAGAGCCTGTGGAGAGAGCCTGAAAGCGATTACTTACCTCTATAGCATTGGGGGATTCCCGTGCTGGCCTTTTTCCCCTTCTAGAAGTTACATGCTGCCAGTTCTCTTCCTGGTCCCGTACTGCCCTCTCTGGTTCTTCTGCCTGCTGTGCTTGAAGGATTAAACGCTGCCTTCTATCGAGGAAGTCTTCATCCTCTCTGATCGAGCGCAGGATTGCCACTTGGGCCTCCAGTCCTCTAATTTTCTCTTCCAAAATGGTGACCAGCTTGCACTTAGTTCAGATAAAATCCGTTCATTCTTCCGAGAGGAAGACAAACATGGCACACGCTGTTCAGGTAACAACAGCAGACCCATCACCATCCATCACTGCTGTCCTGTTCACAAGCTCCTTGATCGCTTGCCCATTGCCTTATAAAGCCATCAAGGAAGATGCAAGTACATGAATAGTTTCCCACAACTTAAAAACCAGGGGTCACACAATAAAATGAATAATTAGCATATTTAATGCAATAAAAGGACCTTTTTTCACATAATTCAGAATTAACCTGTATAAACATCACAGTAATGGAGTTTTGTGAAAGCCAAAATACAATTAAGTTAAAAGAAAACCTTGGTGAGTTCCTGGAGGATAGGTTAATCAATAGGTATCGGGAAACAAAAAACATACACCAACCCTCACTCACAAACACAAGCTCAGCACACAGCAAGAAAGCCCCAAACACAACACACACTTCCCTTAATGACCAGGGCTCGACAAATTAGTCAATCTACTCTCCTGGGGCGAATAGATTTTAAGCCGACACAGTGCCGCAGAGCGATTAGCGCATGCGTAGCGTGCCAAACAACGTGGTTGGTGAGCGGACCTTCTCCTCAATTACAGATTTCAATGCCCAGGGCCTCAGAGAACCAGGTCAGGAGGACCTGGAATGCCTTGACAGGTGTTAGGTGCAATTGCCCTATCTAGTGGCAGCAACTTCTTCAGTGGAGAAGGAGGCTGATGGAGCTTTTTTGGTGCAGTCTTTTCAGAGGCCCGTGTCGGGCAAGCAAGGGAGGTCTGGCTAATGACGCTAGTAGGGAGCAAGATCTTCTCCGTAAGACATGGGAGGGAGATATCCTCCCATGATGGTGTTTCACGATGATCAGTAGGGACAAGGTACTTTATTCATTGGTAACAGAACTTGCAAAAATTTAGCATTATTTATATTTAAAAATGCTATTCTGATGTTAGATTAGACAGATTAGATCTAGTGATGGGCAACCAAGACTAGTGAGTAGGCTGTATGAGTGGGTCTCCATGGCATGATTGCCCACCACTGGATTTCAATCTGGCCCCACTGGGCATGTAGCCTGCTGGGGTTCCACCTGAAGCCAGCATACCCCCTCTCTGCCTCATTCCTCCACGTCTCTTGCTCTCTGAGGCACACTTCCAATTCCTCTCCCGCCCACCAAGAGTTTAACAGCTGTGAACACTTGATTCACAGCATACCGCAAGCAAAGTGCAGGCCTCCACTGTCCCAGTGTGCAAGAGGCATGTGGGAGACGAGGACAGAAAGACGTTCCACAGGCTGCAGGCAGAACCCCAGTGTAGAGCTCTGCATGGATACAAAAAAATCTGTATCCTCAGCCACATCCATAACTGCAAAAGTGAGCTGCAGGTATCTGTATCCATATCTGTGGATATAAAGCAGATATCCGAGGCTTTGGAGGGCTCTATCCCAGTCAGCCGCATGTAGCCCACCGCTATATTAGAACAACACAATAAGCGCAGAGTAAAATGAACCAAGTGTGCAATTGCTTTGTAAGCATATTTCAAGGGTTTGAGATAAAAACATCATAGCATGCACACTGGAGACAGACTTAGGTCAGCTAATCTAAAAGATATTTAATTATTAGAGTAGCAGATGTCACAGTTTTTAGACAGCTGATTTTTTTTAAACACTTGTTTTGTTACCTTACATCCATCTTTTGTCATTTCAACTCATTTCCCTTTTGTATAGAATCCATTTAAAATATGATCTGTGAACTGCTTTTGGGAATATAATCAGCTGTAAAATAAATTACTAACAACCCTGTTTTGAGTTACCAAAACTATTCATACTGAATTCGAGCAGACCTCCTCCACTATCCTTTTTTTAAAAATTTTAAGTGGAACAGCTGTTGAAGGTTCATTTTTATCACCATTACTAGGGCTCGACAAATCATGTAATTTACTCGCCTGTGGCGAGTAGATTACAAGCCGCAAAGCCAGCGCAGCCCGCAGAACCACGCGGCTGGCGAGCAGGGCTCGCCGCCACTTGGCGAGCCCAGACCATTACTAATTAACATATTCTGAACCCTGCACCATCAACAAAAACAGAATTGCTGTTTAGAATAATAGTCTGTATTTTAACTCCAAATGGCTTGTACTAGTTCGTTCACATAAAGAGATCCAGCAATTTTGTATAAAATAGACATTACATAGGTGTGTGTCTGAAATACATTTTAGTAACGCCCCGGATACAAGTTTAAATTCTCATATTCTTTTCATAGTAGCTGTAATATAGGCCTTGCTTGAATATCTCAGGAACGTGGGGCTAAGCTTAAAAAGCAAATTGAGATTAAGATCTCCAAGGTCCATAAAAATTATTTGAAACAAATGAACCAATATGTTCTATAATACAAATTAATTTAAGTTAAATATTAAGAATCATTTCTAAAAAGGACGCTGTCAAGATTGGTGGATTTAAAACAATGTTTTAGCTGCATTTACTAGTGTATATATACACAAAACTTTCCTCCCATGAGTCCATTCTTATAAGCAGGCAGGCACTGAAATACCCAAGGGGGAAAAAAACAAAACAAAACAAAACAAAAAAACTTTGTACTTCAGAGATCAATATTTTTGTCCATTTCAATACTGGCCCAAAGACATCCCAATAGTTACATTTTTAACTTTCATCATCTGTTTAAAACCAGTCAGGCAGTTTACATCCCTCCACATTTTTCAGAAAAAAAAATACAACTAACTGCAACTAAACATCTTTCACATCAACAGAAAAAGGATACAAAACATATGTGGCAAAATAAGCCACTAATACTTGGACATAGAAGGTGTCTTTGTATCTGGAGAGGACTTTTCCTAAAGCCTTAGCATCATCCATGTCTCTGGGAATCTTTATACATTCTCTCTCTCCTCTAAAGAAAAAAGAATTTCAGGAATGTTAAGTAATCAAACACAGTCGCCCCAATATAATATAATAAAGAGCTATAATGTAAGCAAAACAATTAGTCTAATTTCTGGTGTGAAAACACAAAACTGTGAACCCTGGTCTCACTTAGGAGTTATTTTGAAATAATTCCCCTTGTTATGAAACAAGAAGCAGAGCACATGCACACTATCAAGCCCGTTATTTTGAAATAATAACTTCTGCTTTCCATGAGAAATAACACTTATTTCAAAATAATTATTTTGAAATAGCAGTAGTATGGACACTCCACTGTTGCTATTTTGAAATAAAATACTCCCCCAGAGTCATTCAAAGCAATTACTCCCCGTGATTCCTGGGGCTCTAAGTTGAGGTAGCACATCCACATTAAGGGAGCCTGCCTCAAGACTTATTTCAAGGCTTCTCTGTAATGTGGACAAGCTATTTCAAGAGAGTTATTTTGGGAGTTATTTCTACATAATTTCCTAGTGTAGACATGCCAATACTCTGCAGCTCAAACCTTCAGATAATTGTAGGAGTTTACAACATTTTTTTTCTCCTTGTTCAGATTACATGGATGACAAAAAAATTAAAATTGAGATTTTTTGGAGGAGGGATGGAGTGTTTCATCCTTCACAAGAAGAAACATTTTTCAGGTGTTTAACTCTATGGCTGTGTCTAGACTGGCCAGTTTTTCCGGAAAATCCGCCGCTTTTCCGGAAAAACTTGCCAGCTGTCTACGCTGGCTGCTTGAATTTCCACAAAAGCACTGAATTCCTACTGTAAGAAATCAGTGCTTTTTGCAGAAATACTATGTTGCTCCCGTTCGGGCAAAAGTCCCTTTTGTGCAAAACTTTTGTGCAAAAGGGCCAGCGTAGACAACTGAGATTTGTTTTGCGCAAAAAAGCCCCGATCGCGAAAATGGCGATCGGTGCTTTTTTGCGCAAAAGTGCGTCTAGATTGGCATGGACGCTTTTCCGCAAAAGCACTTTTTGCGGAAAAGCGTCCATGCCCATCTAGACGCTCTTTTCCGAAAATGTTTTTAATGGAAAACTTTTCTGTTAAAAGCATTTCCAGAAAATCATGCCAGTCTAGACGTAGCCTATGAGTGTGTACTTTTTAAGGATGGAATCTGTAGTACAATTTTTTATTGTTATATCTTATTTAAGTGAAGTGTGCAATAAAAATGTTATTGATACTATTGGTAAAAGCAATACTACATCCCCACTGTGGACTAGGGATGTAAAATCTTGTTTAATTGGGTAAACAGTTAAATGCAATTCAGACACTGCATTTAACCAATTATGGAGGTTTGTGTGTGGCTGCTCCAGCTGGGCTGGAGTGCATCCACTGAGGTCAGGCTACAGCACTCCACGACAGGCAGAGGCCACACCAGCCTGGCTGTCTCTGCCGACCCCCACATAGGCTGAGAGCCAGCAGCCTCACACACGGGGGCCAGCTGGGCTGAATCAGCCCTCTGGCCAGGACTGGAGGGCTGCTCCCAGGTACTGTTCAACTGTTATCCAGTACGCATCACCTGTTAAGGGTGATGCTTACCAGGTAACCATTTACCTGTTAATTTCCCTATTGTGGACATAATTATACCACTACATAAGGCTTTGTCTACACTACATGTATTGCTTCTTCCACAAAAAGTAAATGAAGTGCTGATCATGCAAATGAAGTGTGAGAAAATGCTTATCTCCGGGAGAGGCATAAGGATCTTGCACAAAACAGCCACTGCTGGTTTTTGCGCAAAAACCACTTGCGCAAAAGGCATTGGAAGAGATTATGCAAATGAAGCTAGAGAAAATGACAATCAGCGTGTCATTTGCATTGATTCTTCTGCAAAAGTAGGTAGTGTAGACAAAGCCTCAGTGCCTTATACAGGTATAGCTTAGCTCCCCCATCCATATGAGAACAAACAATACCAGTATAAAAATGACATTTGTACCAGTATAACTATATCCAAACAGGGGAAGGTTGTAGTGCTTAAATTACAGCAGTATAGGTAAAGTGATAATACTTTTGCTTCTAGACTAGCATTGGCAGGCTGTCTTAAGCACTTGCTTCTGGATATTTTCAATCTGACTTTTTATAAATTTGACTTTCTGGATTGTCTTATGAATCTCCTCCCTTACCCCTGCCTTTCACATTTTTATCAGGTTGTGAAAATGTTGAGTTATGTCAATCTGTGAACCTCCTAAAACTTTTAGCTGTAAAGCAGGGGTTTCAAATTCATAATCCATACCTTTCCCCAAGCCCAGATCCTGCTGCACCAGGTCCCCCTACTCCAGCCTCCCTACTGAGGGACGCAGCCTCAGGGATTACCGGGAGGGGGGCCTGGTATGGGGCAGGTGCAGGGGTTAGGCCTCCCCACACTCACTGCAACAGTGGAAGCCGTGGTGAAGCACAGCAATCAGACTAGCCTGGGCGATGGTAGCAGAGAACAGCAGGCTGCTACATCGCTCCGTTTCCCTGCAGCTCTCTCCACTGTGGTGAATGCGAAGGGTATCTGACTCCTGCTGCTGCCCCAGCCTGCTCAGGACCACATAGGCTACCCTGAGTGTGGGGGACCATCCCATCTATAGGATGGTTGGCACGGCTGCCACAAGTCACCCAGCAGCCATTGCAAACCATCCAATGGACAGGATGGCTCTGCACATAGCGCCACAGCAACATCCTGGCAGCAGTGCAGAGCTAGCAGCCAGAAGCTGCTCTAGCGCCACCGTACTGCTAGTTGGGGGAAGACTCAGGGTGGGTTTAAATTATTTGAGGGTAGGGCCTGGAAACATGCAGTAGGGTACACCTGGCCAGCTCACCCCCTCACTCCTGAAGCACTGCCAGGGGAGTGCCCACTGGCCTACTAGGAGGATCTAAGTACCACCACTAGCTCTAACATAAATTGACTTTTGAGACCTCTGTTGTAGAGGATACTACAAAGAAAAGCCAGCAAATGAATCCTTCTTAATATACTTACTCACTAAGCTGTGGAAAATTTTTATATACTAGAAACATAATTGAAGCAGCAGACAGAAAGATAGACGCTAATATGAGGAGTGACGTTCGTGCTGATCCACCTTCTGCATGGGCCTTTCCTAAAATTAAACAAAATTATAGTAAAAGATAAATACTACGGAACTCAAAATTAAACTTATTGGAAGAATAAGTATATTGTCGATAACAAATCTTCTCAACAAAAAGCTCTCTCTCTCTCATATTCCCTAGAAGTTTCAGGAAAAATCTTGCATTCCTTAATTGAGCAAAGCTTCCTCTGACAAATCCAAATAAGGACTAATTACTTACTTCAATTAATACATTAAGGGAGAAAACCTGTTTCACACCTTTGTTAACAACAGTAAAGTAACATTAGAAACAGTACATTTTTTGCCAAAAATTCCCCATGACTGGTTTGGCTACAATAAACAAAATGCTGAATCCATGTTGTCTAACTGCTTAGTGAAGATCTGGCTCTGCACTAACTCAGGCCATTTCACTCTACAAGAAAAGGTATCTTGAAACATGTCAGCTAATCAAGGTAAATCCTATGGGATAAGTTTAGAAAAGACATCTTGCCTTTTCTATAGGATTTTTACACATACTTAACATATTACTTATTAACAACTAGTAGCCCTGTAGTATCTTAAATACTAATCAAAATATATAGAATCATGAGCCTTCATGGGCAAAACCCACTTCATCAGCTGAACTGGAGTGGAAGTAACAGAAACCAAGATAACAGCAGAGGCAGTATCTGTCAATTGTAGGAACAGTTTAATTATGCTAATTAAGAACTAAATGTGTCCCATGCATAGCTTTTGATGTGGCAGAGAAGATATTAATTGGAAAAATTGGCTTTGTAGTGCACCAAACCAGTTAATGTCTTTGTTTAGGCCTAGAATAATGGTGTCAAATCTGTAGATAAATTACAGTTCTGCAGATGCTCTCTGGAATTTCACTAATCAATTACTTTGTTGAAAAATGTCTACTTTTAAATCCATGACTGAACATCCAGGCAAGTTAAAATGTTCCCTTTTCAGGTTTGTTTTGTGTGTGTTACCATTTCTAATGCCTGATTTGTGTCCATTTATTCCTGGCTTGGCCAATGTACATGGCAGATGGGCACTCCTGGCACTTGATGGCATAAATCACATTAGAGGATGTGCAGGTTTATGAGCCCCTAATGTTGTAGATTACATGGCTAGACCCTGTGATAGTATCACTTTTATAGATGTGGACAAAGTTGGCAATGGGGCTTGTTGCTAGGCTAGGTTCCAAGGTGCATATATCTGAGGTATGGTGTGCGGCTGCTGGAAAGGACTTGCTTCAGGTTGAGGGGGGTTGGCCTATCTTGAGAGATACCCTGAGCCCTCTCCAGTCCTGAGCACCCTCCTGAACCTCAAAACCCTCATCTCTGGCCCCATCCCAGCACCTACAGCCCAGAGCCTGTAAACCCTCCTGTACCCCAACTCCCAGCCCAGAACCCCTCCCCAAACCTGGAGCCCACCTCCTGTACTCCCAACCCCACCTCAGAGCCTTCACTCGCAGCCAGAGCACTTGTGCCCAACCCTGTCTCAGCCCTGAGCCCCTCAGCCTTTCTAGTCAAATCCCAAGCCCCACCACCTGGGGCTGAAGCCTAAGGGCTTTAGCCATGGGTGGAGGTTAGGGATGTGAAGGACTATTCGGTTATCCGATAAGCAAATGCCTCAATCAGATAGAGGCAGCAAAGGGGGGGGGGGGGGGGAGTACTTCAAAGTGGCAGCACCATGCGGAGCCTGGGGTCAGCCGCTCCACGCGGCGCTGCCACTTTCAATGCCACAAAGAGCCCAGTGTTGGACTCCTCGTGGCATTTTAAAGCAGCAGTGCCATGTGGAGCACAGGGTCATCTGGGGACCCCTCAGCTGATCCCGGGGTTCCATGCTTTCGACTTTGATTAGTCGATAGGGTACCTCCGTCTTTGGCTTTCAAATAGTCAATGCAAAAATGCATCAACTATTCAATTACCCAATTCTTAACATCCTTAGTGGAAAAACAACAAATAGTCTGGTAGCACTTTATAGACTAACAAAACATGTAGATGGTATCATGAGCTTTCGTTGGCACAGCCCACTCCTTCAGATGAGTGGAGTGTTGGATGTCTAGGACTAAAATAAATAGGGGAGATCAACATGTTTTGTTAGTCTATAACGTGCTACCAGAATATTTGTTGTTTTTTCAGTTTACCTGTACAGACTAACTCGGCTACCCCCTAAAGATCCTTAGTGGAAGTAGCCAGGTTGGAGGGCTTCAGCCTTTCATCCACTGTGGAAGCACTTACACAGGCTCAGGTTTTGGTCTCTCCTCCTAAGGTCATGTAGTAATTTTTCTTGTCAGAAGGGGGTGGCAATGCAATGAAGTTTGAGAACCCCTGGTGTAGCGGATACTCGTTTCCTAAGTAAAATAAGCTTTTGTTTTTAAAGAAGCATACCTACATCTACACTAAAGCTTTTGTCAGCATAGCTATTTTGTTAAAATATAGAAAAAGCAAAAATTGTAAGTGTATACCTGCCCTTAGTTTCTCTGCTAGGGCTCTACAATACAAAAATCCCAAGGTGCTGGTTTCATTTGCAGCTCCTGGTAGCATGATTATGATGCCACTATGCGACATGCACAGCAGTCTATTGCATTACCATTTCATTGTTGTAAGCAAGCAATGAGATGATGAAACATAACAAAACAAGGGCTGTGAATACTTTCGAGTTTATTTACTTTGTCAGTTTGCCTTGAAATCAGCACAAATGTTTACCATATTCTCTTAATATTATTGCTACTGTTTTGTCTGAAATGCTAGAGTTACTGCATCATTCAGCTACAGACTTAATTGTGTCTTTTGGGTTTTTTACCATCACCTTCTCCAGGATGATAATCTATTTTAAGGGAAAAAAAAGTTTCCAGATGGAACTAATGTAGCAAAATTAAGCATGTTTTAATATGTTCTCCATTCTTCACCCATTCCACCCAAATCTGTTCTAGGTTTGCAAAATAAACAGTAGAGAATTTACTGCAAGTGGTTAAAGACTGTAAACTGCTGTAACACTATGCCAGTTTCCAAACTGTAATGATATAAAGCACAACCCAGAGAAGGTGTGGCAACTATTGTGATTATCAGACCAAATACACATGGCTGCCTTCCATAATCAGGTGTACTTGGGTATGTTAAATGTGTTTATTTAGGTCAATGTTTCTCATAGTGGGCCAGAGGCCCACTTTGAGGAAGCTGCTAATGGGCCACTCTGGTTTGATTACTTACTGGCTCTGTAGCCATAGAGCAGGCATGTCCAAAGTCCGGCCCGCGGTCGGATTTAATACAGCCCCCGCTTCTCCCGGCTCCCCGGTGCTCCTTTTAACTGGCACGCGCCACTTCGGGCCGCGCTGCCGCCGCCGCCACGGTCCTAGACCCTGCCCTGTAGGGCACGTCCGCAGCCCCGCTCCCCCGCTTGGCTGCGGGTTCGCCCTGCCCCCGTGAGGCCAGCGTGCCCTGCACTCTCTGACCCCGCGGGCCCTCCGCTTTGGGGCTGAGAGTGCGGGGACAGCCCCCGCTCCCCGCTTCCTCCCCCTCTCCTGGCTCCCTCTCTGAACTGGCGCGCTGCGCCGCTTCCGGCCGCGCCACCGCCGTCCATGGCGGCCGCTGCGGTCCTAAAGCCTGCCATGTAGGGCACGTCCGCAGAGCTGCAGCTCGAGCTCATTGAGCTGCATTGTGACAGCGAGTTACGCAGTCGTCACCAACAGCTCTCTCTTGTGAACTTTTACCGCCAACTGGATAAGAGCCGGTTTCAAGAGATTCGAACATTGGCTAAGAAAATGCTGAGCTTGTTTGGCTCAACATATATGTGTGAGAAGACATTCTCTGCTATGAACTTTAACAAGAACCGCGTGAGGACAAGACTAAATGACTCTCACCTGCGTGATATTTTGCGCATCAAAACCACTGCCTTTGAACCAGACCTAGCCTATGTACTGCAGTCCAGATCTCAGTTTCACCCTTCACATTAGTTTAGGCAAGTTTTTTTTTCAATTGAGATGACTACATTGTAAAATCTCAGTTAATGTCAGTTGGTCTAAATCAGTTATAAATATATTTGGACACAACATGTATAGTTGGTGTTATGTCGTTTGCCGTTTGCAATAAACTTTGCATAAAATAGTTAATTTGCATTTAATTTTAATGGTTCAAAGAATGTCAGGCAAAATGGTCGGCCCTCACGCATGTTCACTTCATCAAATCTGGCCCTCTTTGAAAAAAGTTTGGACACCCCTGCCATAGAGCCTTGCAGCTCCCATTGGCTCTGGTTCACCAGTTGCAATCAAGGGGAGCCACAGGAAGCAATGGGCAAGGCCACACTGTTTCCTGCAGCTCCCTTTGGCTGCACACAGCAAAAATGGAGCCAATGGGACAAACTGGAGTGGCCCATTAGCAGCTCTCTCAGAGTGGGCCACGGCCCACTTTGAGAAACACTGCTTTAGGTAAACGTAACTGCTGAAAATTTGTGAAGAGGAAGCGGTAGCTCCTGCAGAACCGCCTTCCCTCTTCTCCACCGGCACTGCTGCCCCTGTATAAGCTGGCTCCGTGCGCACACCGGAGGGGCAGAGGGTGCTGGAGCAGAGTGCAACCATAAAGATTAACCGTTGAGCCCAGGTTCATCAATTAACCAGGTACACATTCATATCCTTACACCTACTAGGGCAATGACATACTTAGATAGAGGTGGGAAGGGATTTTCTATTAGTTTAGAACCATATAAAATTACTCCACTATTTTACATACCCAGTATACAGAAGTGAAAGGCCCAATCTTGCAAGCCACTCCATGCAATTAGGGCTATATGAGAGGGTTGCAGCACTGGAATCAAATAATTTATTTTCATTCTGACCTCCCTACCATCAGGTTAGGTCACAAAACAGTGTTCTGTACAATTGTGTGTAGTTCAATCCTTCATAAATATTATGTCCCTGAAAATGCCCAGCCCTGACAACCGGAACAAGTAACAGAATTCACAATTCATAGATGCCACAAATCCAAGAATGGTTCAAGACAGCACCCCTCACAAACAACAGGGAAATCTGAGCTGACCAAAGTGAGATGCCTGCTTTAAAGACACTCAGATCCTAACCACTGGGTAAGTGACACATATGCAAGGGAAACACTGGGGGGCAGAAAGGGGGGCACCAGGGGTAACTGGCAGGGAGAGGCTTGCTCCCTTGCTTACCCTTCTGGAAGAGCAGAGATGTCCATCAGCACAGAATGAATCTGTTTGCTTAGCAGCAGCTGCAGCCAACAACACTGCCTACCGCCTTCCCCAATCAATGCCACTTCAGTGACTTGTATGCCCCTGAACATCAATCCCAAACAGTGCTCCCCTCACATCCTTACCAAACCAATCCCACCTCATTTAACCCTTCCCCAGATACTGACCAGCGGCACTTTCCCTGCCCCAAACTATCTGAGCCCACAGGATACCCACCCCAATTCCTCATTGCACCCAAATCAACTTCCCCTCAGTGGCCCTCCCTAGATACTAACCCCACAGATCACCTCCCCTTGCCTCAAACCAACTCCATCTCAGTGACCCTGGTCCTACATAACTTCCCTCTTAGCTGTGCAGCAGCAAGGGCCCTGTCCCCAACTAGAGTGGGAAGAGACATCTCTCATCCCAAGGCCCAAGTCATGGATCTGCCACTGCCAGGAGAAGAATGTCCCCCCCCCAGCCCAGCTGCTGCTGTGCAGAGAAAGGGTCGAGGAGCCTGCATCCCACACCCCCTTTGCCCAGCTCCACCCAGAACCTACACCCCCCTCCCAGAATCCTCACCCCCACACAAAACTCAACCATCAGTCCCAGTCCTGACTCCCTCCCACTCTCCAAACCCCTAGGCTGCAACCCTGCCACATATCAGCTGCACATTGGTGAACATAACAAAATTCATTCCATACATGCATGTGAAAAAACAGGAAATGCTAGCTCCCAGCAGGCACACTGATGCTAAGGTGCAACTCCCCAGTTCCCCCACTACTCCAACCCACTCCAACTCATTGCTTCAGAGCCACTCTCCCTTCCCCCCTGTATCCCCAAACCACCTCCATACCCTCTCCCCATAGACCCCCTCTCCCTCCCCCATGTCTTCTCCCCACACACTGACCCAAAAAGCCTCTCCCCCCACCCTCCAGTGTCCCCAAACCACTCCCATCCCCTCCCCGACACTAACCAACAGAGACCCTCTCCCTTCCCCCATATTCCCTCCCCACATACTGACCCACAGAGCCCCTCTCCCTGTCCCCATGTCCTCGCCCCACACATTGACCCAGAATCTCTCTTCCTACCCCAGTGTCCTCAAACCACTCCATCCCCTCCCCACTAACATGTCCACAAAGTCCCTCTCCCTACCCCCATAGCTCCTCCTCCCACAGCCGCTCTCCCTGCCCCGCAGTGTCCGCACACCACCCCATCCTCTCCCCCCACACTGACCCACGGAGCCCTTCCCTGCCCCCATAGCTCCTCCTCACACAGCCCCTCTCCCTGCCCCGCAGTGTCCGCACACCACCCCATCCTCTCCCCACACACTGACCCACGGAGCCCTTCCCTGCCCCCATAGCTCCTCCTCACACAGCCCCTCCGGGCGCGCGCCTGGTCTCCGGGACCCCGCTCCCCGGCTCTGCGCTGCGCCATGTCGCCGCACTGCCAGGAAGCGGCCGCCTGGCGAGACTCAGGCCCAGCCCAGGCCGCCCCGGCATCAAGAGCCGCGAGAGGAGGCGGGACCCACCGCTCCCATCACCCCATGGACGCCTCACACGGCGCATGCCCCGTCCGCGGCGCTCACTTGAACCTGCGGGGATGCGGTTCCGCGTTTAACTGGTAAATACGGTAACGCCAAGCATGGTGGCGTGTTTAGCCTATTAATTACGACAAACACTTAACTGTAGTAACGTTGAATCAAGACTGCGTTCAAGCCTGCCAATACGGTAATTCGGCGGCAGGCGCTAGGCGCCTCGTCAATCCATGCTGTAAAGTGGAGGTTGGGCTGCTTATGCTAACGGCCAGTCGTGGGCGTGGTTAGTCCATTAAATGCGGCAGTGCACACCCAGGACTCCGGGTTTCCCACTTCCCAACATGAATGCGGCAAAGCCTGCCTCAGGGCACGGTTAGTGCTTCACTAATCTAAAGCTGAGGGCGCGCTGAGCCAGGTCTTCGTGATTCGCCCATTAAACATGGTGTAGATCTCCAGGTGGGAATTCAGTAAATACGGTAATGTCCCCCTAGAGCTGCGTGTTTCACTGAGTAAATATGGTAGTGTCCTTAGCCTACTGAGTAAGGCAGGGCTGTGCCTGCCGGCCAGGAAGCGCCACCCTGCCGTTCAATACGGTAATGCTCAGCTGAGACCGAAGGTTTAAGCGCTCTATTGGCAAGGCTCCATCACAGCGCGGTGTGCGTTAGCGCAGTAAATTCAGTGATGCACGTTGGAATCAAGAAATACGGTAACCCAGCCGGGGCCTCCGTTCCCCCCGGAGAACTGAGCAAAGCTCGCGGCGGATGGCCCGGGGCTGCCTTTCCGCGCTCGCTTCTGCCCGCTGTGCGCTAGGCACTCGGGTCACTTTGAAGAGAGGCGCTGCCCTGAGTTGTACAGAAGGGCAGAATTCAGTCAAGTGTAGGTCCGGGGTCAGCAACCGCTGGTTCTGTATGGAGCCAAATATGGCACTTGCGTCATTCCCAAAACACATGCAACTTCTTAAATTAAAATGAAAAAGTAATTCCAAGTTTTATGGGGGGTGCCCCCTGCTCGCTATGCTTGCCAATCCCCTGTTTCAGGGGGAAGGCAGCCCCACCCCTACCCCCTACTGCTGGGGAGGGCCTGGCAGCTGCCCCCCACCCCATCCCCTCCTGCAGCTGCTGTGCCAAGGCCGGCAGTCCTGGCTCTCCCCACTCTGACCATTGGGCAGGGCAGAGACCTGGCCAGCCCCAGCTTTCCCCCTCCCTGCCAGGCCAGCCCAGGCTCTTGCTCTCCTCCACCCCCTGCCACCCGCAACCTGGACTTCAATTTCATCTCTCTGCCTCCATTCCTTTACTAACCATCCTCCCTAACCTCTCCCCACGCTGCCTATCCCTACCATTTTCTTGCCATTTCAGCCAGAAAGGGCATTGTCTCAAGGACTTAACCACCTGCATCCTGCTTCAAAGACATTTTAACACCAGACTTGAAAGAGAATCCTCTGAACTGTCATTCATGCTTAAATTTGACACTTTACACCTAGGTCTCAACAAAGACACTAATTATCTTACCCATTACAAAGATAGCTTCCCCAATTATCATCTCTAATATCATTACCTCCTCCTCTCACCCCTCTGCCCTGTTCTGAAATTTGATTTGTCCTTTTCATGTGTTCATTTTTTTTGGTTGTATCCTTTGGTATATATGGTCATGCCAATTTTCTTCCACTATTTGATCTGAGGAAGTGGGTCTGGCCCAACATAGCAGACGGACACTTTCGGCACATGATAGCATAAATTATATTTCTGGATGAGCACGAATATGTGTCTTTTTTTTATTGTATCCTTTGCTATATATGGTCATGCCAATTTTCTTCCACTATTTGATCTGAGGAAGTGGGTCTGGCCCACGAAAGCTCATCACCTAATAAACCATCTTGTTAGTCTTTAAAGTACTACATAGTCCTGTTTTTTGTTTCAGCTATTCCTACCCCCACCTCCTTCCTCCTGCCCCCATCCTTCCCTAACTCCTCCCCACCCCCACACTGGCCATCCCCCTGGCTCCATTCCTATATCCTCCTCATCATTCCCCTTTACTGCACTGCCCATCCCCACATACACCCTATCCCCCTTCCTCCCTCCCTATGCACACCCCGTCCCTCCCATGAATTTGTCGGGCTGTGTGCCCCAGCTACTGCAGCAGGAGCCACAGCCTGTCCCCAGCCCAGTCTCTCCACACATGCCTGTTGGGGCAGTTTTGCTCCATGGCGAGTCCAAATGTAATCAATTGATAAATGGGGGAGCTGCAGTAGGGATTGCTCCCAGCCTGGGAGTTAACAATGCTGCGGCTCTGCCTTTTAAATATATTAAGACCCTGTCTGGTTGGCAGTGAGCTGGGAATCAGCTGTCCTGTCTCATGCTGGGTTCCTCTGCTCTCTTCCCCTTCCGTCCCCCTCCCCCCCCGCTCTTAAAACATTTAAAAAGCAGAGGCACAGCATTTGGGATTGGGTGCGGGCCAGGAATCAGTTGATTCCTGGCTCATGCCCAGTCCCTGCTAGCCCCCTCCCTCCCCTGTTTCCTGCGGAGATGGTGCTGGGGCATCTGGCTTTTAAGTCGTCTTCCCCCCAGCACCAGCTCCTGCTCTCTTGCCTGCTGCCTCCGATAGGGGCTCAGCTAGGCTAGGGAGGGTGTGCAGGGAACCTGCATGGAGCTCAGCTAGGCTGGGGTGGGGGGGGGGCACAGGGAACAGATGCGTGGCTCAGCTGAACTGCAAGGGGAGGTGCAGAGAACTGGTGTGGGGCTCAGCTGGGCTGCGGGAGGACACAGGGAACCAGCATGCAGCTAAGCTGGCCTGGGGGGAGGAGGGGTGCCACTCCAGGAGCCAATACAGGCTCAGTCAGGTCCCGAGGGTGCCAAACCAGGGAGGTCCAACCCCTATCCCTACCCCAAGTCCCCTCCTGCACCCTCCCTCCTGGCCAGACTCTGCACCCTCCCTCCTGGTCAGACACCCTACTGCCAGTCCACTACTGCACCCTCCTGCCTAGCCAGACTCTGTACCCTCCCTCCTGGTCAGGCAGCCTACCCCCAGTTTGCTCCTGCATCCACCATTGCTCCTGCACCCTCCCTCCTGGCTACTTGTTACTGCTCCCTCCCCCCGCCCAGACACCCTACTCCCAGCTTGCTTCTGCACCCTACCTACCAACCATACCTTACAACCTCTTCCCCTTATGCACCCCACCCCTCCCAGATTCTATACCCCATTCCTGTCCCACACAGTGAACCTCTCATTTTTGTCCCCACCCCAGAACCTAAGGGGGTCCATAAAATCCACCATAAAAGAAAATTTGGTTCCTTGCCCTAGTCCTGTGGAGTGCCAGAGGAGTGAGGAGCCTCTGCTGGGGGCCACATCAGTGAAGGTTGGGGGGTTTGGGAGGAGATGTTTTGTTTCTCACTTGTGTAGTCCCCAACTGATTTTTCTGTGGGTCAGTGGTCCCCGACCCAAAAAAGGTTGTTCACCCCTGCCATAAATAAAGGAAACACTGAAACCTTTTGTGTTGGACATAAAATAAAATAATTAATATTTTACTTTATTTAAAATGAAGTTTGATAAACTAATACAAGAAAGTTAAAACACTTAATCTGTTCAATAATTTAAATTAAACCATTCTCCCTAGCTACAGCTCTAGCAAAATGGTTTGGGTGTAATTAAGAGTGAGTTTCCATTAGCAACTGGTGGTCTGCAGAAAGATTTATATTGAGACAGGTGGTCCATGGACCAAAAAGTTTGAGAACCACAGAAATAGAGGCACCCCCAGCCTTTCCCCCCAAGACACCGCCCTATGTTCCCTGCTGCTCCACAAGAGCCCACAGAGAAATCCGGTCTGTTACCACAGCAGTGAAATCACTGCATCACTCCAGTGTGGATTATGGACAAACTCTCTGTGAGTCTTCCTCATCCAAGCAGCTGAGATTTAATAGCATGTTAAAATGCCACATGAAAACACTTGTCCACAGAGAGGCACGATGTATCGTCTCTCTTCAGACATGGTTGTCATGACTTGTGTGTCAGGGTGAACAAGCCCTTTGTGAAGTCTGGGAAGCGGTGAGATGTTTTGACTTCCAGATTCAAGGGATTTTGTTCTTCTGTCTTTGGGCTGCATGTTGCCTAGATCTGAATGGAGTTAGCTGTGACAAGGCATTTCTGAGTTATTCTGACACACAAAGTGAAACCTGTGCTAAACACCCCACGTCCAGTAAGAGAAAGTGCTGCTGCCAGCAGTCAATTCAAAGTCTCCAATTTTCTTCAAAGATCACCTCCACCAGGCAGTAGGGCTTTTACTGATTGGTCCCTTATATTTTTGAAGGGTGACTAAATGTTAATTGGATCTTCTTGGGTAATATCAACAGGTTGCTTTGGGCCCAATGCCAGCTTAAAGTTTAAATTGCATCAGGCCCTTTGTAAGCAGGTTGGGAAGTGGTCTCATTTGGCAATTCGTATTAGAAATTATTTACACAATATAGGCATTGCTATCATGTTATTGACATATACATTTCTCAGCTTTACATATAAAATAGCCGAGCCCCATTGACCTCAATGGGAAATGTACCTTTTAAGCAGTGGTGGGGACGATTAGTGACATTGTCTTCTCCACCCTGTAATTGTCATGGTGAGTTCAGTATTGTCATTCTGGCTTGTAGAAACAGAGGACACTTGATTGTTTTGCAGTAATTTAAAAAAATGCAGTTGCAGTACATAGAAAAAACAACAAGGAGTCCAGTGCAACTTAAAGGATGGAGGCAGTATAGAAAGGAACAGTGAAGCGGACTGGAAAGTGTTAGAGAAAAAACTGCCACCCCAGTAAAAAAGTTTGTCCAGGCCGCTCTTGCTGTAATGGGCTGCAGTACACCTTGGGAGAAACCGGCCGCACCCTTCCTGCATGCCATTGCCTTTAGAAACAGGGAAGGTGTGAAAAGGGGAAAATAGCCTCATACTCTCCCACCCATCACCTTGGTGTGAGAACTGCAGGGCTTACCTGGTCGCATGAAACCTGCACAGTTTCGGCCCAACCCCTGGGACACAGACCCC